TTTTATTATAGTTGGAGAGACGATTGTCGTTTCAATTAATTAATTATTTACTGTAACATGTAAACTGGTATCTTTTGTTTCCCCTTCTTTCATTCTGTCGATATCACTGTAAGTTGACGTTTAGTTCCCTAGGTGTTGAGTAAGTCAACACACAACTTCAAAAACGTGACAAGATGGCATCACTTTTTTATAACAATTTTTATTACTTTGCGCTTTAAGACATGCACATATTTTAAAATGATTAGTTTTAAAGGCAATTACTTTTATGTAAAATCTAATTAGTTCAGTAAAAAATCATAATGTTACAATTCTATATTCTACTACAATTGTGTAGATGAGTTATTTAAAGATTTCCTATTTGTATCGTTTAAAGACTATCACGTTTCAGGCCATAATGAATTATAAATTACGGTGACTTCCGACAAAAGACAATATCATGGAAACAATATTACGATGGCATCTGTTACCCTGCAGTTATAGAATTGTATGTAATAGAAGATAGCTCTACGTCATACGTTCAGATGGCCTTAATTGGTGTCATAATGAAAGATAAATATTTCATTAAAACTGACTCGTCTACACAGAAAGAAATTTATCGCCATATTGATTGCTACTTCTTACTCTGTGAAAGCATCAGAAAGATTATAGTACTTGATTAGAAGTAACCTTTTCAGAATTAAGTATAAAAAGACACAGTAATTTGTTGTTTGGACATGTTTCTACGATTCAAATTGACGTAAAAGTATTTCTTATGGGAATAAAAAATGAGAATAAGAGAAGAATATTCATGTAAATGCTCTCGTTCCAGTCCATGCATACCTTAAACAAATAAAACTATGTAGAACACTTTCTTATCAATACCTCTTCTTATATATACATACACATGTATAAAATAACCAATGATTTAAATCATGCTGAAATTCACATATTAACCAATAGTAAATTAAAATCTAACAGTATAACCTTCTTTTTATACAATGTGTATAATGCCAAACCCCATACATCATTACAATGTGTCATAAAATTTTAATCCAGCGAAGAAAGGCATCAACCGAACATGGGAATATTACATTTTTTTATAAATCAGATTTGATCGAGTGGCGCTGTGCTCAGTGCAAGCGGCCTCAACAGCTGGAACTCAAATTCTTCTAAGGTAATGATGTAAATTTGCAAGTCCAAAAAAAATGAAACTCTAACATTATGCGGCTTAATTCAAAACATATATATTAATTCTGAATAGAAGAAAATTCCGTTTCATTAGGCGTTACGTTTCCTCAATTTAAATAAATTCTTTGGTAATGATCATGGTGAAGCAGAAATAAGATACTTAATTATGGCTATGTCGATAGACAAAGATATTGGGTTTTTCTATGGTAACACTTCCCAAATGAATTCTAATCTGATCACATCAAAGCCTTAATCATTAGTGTTTAGGATTCAAAAGATTGTAATAAATAGCAATACTACACGAAACAGTTTTCTGTATAACAAACAGTTAGATTGGCTCGGTTCTTTAAACACGTTTATCAACTTATTTGTAATTAAATTTGAACATACCTGTATGACATAATTAAGTTGATTCTTGCTTTTTGTTATTTAACGAATGGTGGGATTATGCAGCAAAACAAGTTTTTATTAGAAATTTACAACAACAACAAAAAAAAAGTGAGCACATTTTTTATTTCTTTTGAATTCCTCTATATGATTCCTTTATTGCAATATGAGCACCAGAACTTTTTTGGGTCGATTGTGATAATTTTTTGTTTGTTTGAACAGCAGAAAATATGTACTTTCTGTAGAACCACATTACGTTATGAAAATAAACAGACATTTTTCATAGTTTTCCGGGACCTCGGTAGTCGAGCGGTCTAAGTAGTTCATCTTTTATAGCAATCACTAGCCTGTCAACACTTATGTTGAGAGTTCGAACCCCGCACGTGGTATATGCGTTCAACTCAAATCTTAATTGACGATTAGGATTGGCAGTTTTTCTGCCGAAGGTCGATGGTTTTCTCCTGGTACTACACCTTCCTGCACAAACAAAAACTGGTCACCACGACATAGCGAATAGTGTTAAAGTGGAGTTAAACACCAACAAAGAATGAATCATAGGTTTCTCGTATGGAACAGAACACGATTTTCAGACAGGGAAACCCGATGTTTTGACAATTATACAGAATAGTTCAGAAGTCATATTTTTCTTTGGTGATTTTTAAAATAAGGCTAACTATGCGGTATGGGTAAGCTGGTCCGAGAACACAGTTATTTCGTAGTGCATTTCTTATAGACAATAAATTTAAATTAAAAAAAAACGCACCTGCTTTATCTCAAAAAGATTTCTACAGTGTAGTGTACTACTTTGGGGACAAATAATATCAAATTTATAGAAAAGTCTACAAGCTCTAACTCAAAATATGGAAAATTCTATGTTAGGGAGTCTATAGTTCAGTTTGACAGCTTCAGACATAATAATTTTTGTCCTTTTTTAACTGAACCAAATCACTTCTTTACATAAAGATTCAGCACCCAATTTTTTTAACATGTAATTTCATCCCCATACTTAATATTTCATGCATAAAAAATAAAGAAAAGAATTTGGAAAGTGAAAAAAATATGCAAGTTATACACTGTCCACACTAGGAACCATATTTGTCAACGAAAATCAAAGGACGATAACTGTGTCCTCAGACCAGCTCCTTGTTAAAAGCCGTATGGTGACCTATAGTTGCTAATTTCTACGTCATTTTGGTGTCTGGGGGAGAGTTGTCTAATTGGCAATCATACCACATCTACTTCTTTTTATATCTGAGAAAAATCGTGTATGTGTGTGTGAATTATTTTGATAATATATTTTGTTTCTTTTATACCAATATTGTTCTAGTCATTTTAAAGTCAACATTGATAAACGTAAAACAATTCAAACAAGAAAACTAACGGTCTGATATATGTACAAAACAATAAACGAAAAACAAATATGATATACAGCAACAAACGACAACCATTAAATTATAGGCTCCGGACTCGAGACAAACACACACAGAAAGTGGCAAGGTTAAACATGGTTGCGGGCGCCCAAACCTGGGACAGTGGTGTAACAGTACAACATAAGAACAAAATATAAAAATAAGTTGAAAAGGGATTGCCTGTAGTTCAGTGGTTTTCGTTGTTCATGTCTGTAATATTTGTTTTTCGTAAATTATCTTTTATAAATTAGGCCGCTATTTTTCTCATTGAATTGTTTCATATTTTTCATGTCGGGGCCTTTTATAGCCGACTATACGGTATCGGATTGTTGAAGGTCGTATGGTTGCCTATAATTGCTTACATCCACTTCATTTGAACTTTGGTGAATAGTTGTCTAATTGGCAATCATATCCCATCTCCTTAATTTTATGTTAACTCGTCAAATCGACACAAAGCACACACAAAATTAACAAAACACAAAAGACAAAAGTACAGATCTGAGAGTACTCACAGTTATTGAAAGCTAGTTCAAAGCCAATAACTGCTAATAAAATTATCATGTATCTAAGACTAAAATATCAATCAGTACACATCCAACATCCAATAGATTTTGTGTAAAGACGTCATTAACAGTCAGAAAAAAAACATGACCTTGTACAATGCCAAAACATAGGTATCAACAGATGGTAGGACCGTGAATTTACATATGTGTATAACAAAAATATTAAAATCAATATTTTTACCGATAAAAATCTTAATTACAGTGTTGTGTTTTAAATTGGTAACCTTTTAGAATAAGTTTATTTAAAAGATCGATAAGTTAACCCGGATCAAGTCTTAATTTACGGGTTCGGTAAACAATATCACCGTCAAAATTAGGGTGTACTTTCCCGTTTGTAATATTAAGTTTTCTACAGGTACAGTCAAACTTCCAAACCAAATCTTCGTATCTATGTATGAATTCAATTAAGGTTTTAAATAATTTGTGTTAACTAAATCCTTGACTAAATAATTTACTAACAATACATAGATTAGTCATTGAAATCCAAAACGTCACTAGATACACGGGTATAGCGAACGAGTTGGGATATATAAACACTGTAAGATTGTTCCAAAGGAAAATTAACAATAGGAAAGGAATAATCGTCTTTTTTGTCGTAATTTTTTGTGTGAAGTTTCCCTTTAAAACTGAAGTATTTAAATCTAGGAAAGGACAATTATTACTGTTTATATTTGATATATTTAAAGTAAGTTCCTTTGGGTAAATTTCGGCAGTATATTTAGAGACTCCTTGATTATTTAACGAAAAAATATCATCATGGTAACAGTAAGTGTTCTTGAATTCATCCATTAAAAAAATTTAGACGGATCTTTACTGAGTTTGGTCATAGCTGTGATTCATAACAGTACACGAACAAGTCTGTTATACAAGGGGCACAATTGGTTCATTAGGAATACCTACAAGCTGTCCATAAACTTTACTGCGGAAACGTAAATGTTGTCAAGGAGAAAATTTACAGCTTTAATCATCTCATCACACCTCCAATAAGTATATCTATCATATTTACCTTTCTCATTAGAGAAGAAGGCTTTACATATTAAGTTGTAGCAAATAAATTTGCAATAAGATTTTTCAAACGACCATTTAATTTAATTGAAAAACTTTTGTTTGATAAGATTGTGTGGAAGAGTAGTGTAAAGAGTTGAAAAGTCATAACTGGCAACCGAATTAAAAGGACCCTCAAAAGCATGTAATTTATCTAAAACATCCAAAGAATATTTTACACTTCAAAATTAGTTAATTCCATTATTTTCCTATATTTTATCACAAAACTTAATGATAAGTTCTTTGGTAGCAGTTAAAGAACTAATTAAAAGCACTGAAAGATTAGTTGTAGAACACTTACCAGAGGCATATTTTACTTAACAAAAAAAAAAAAAAAAAAAAAAATACCTGCTCTAAGTTAAATATTAAAAAACCCCAGATACTTCAAAAAGAACATAACATACACAGGTGTACAAAAGCAACAACTTACCAATGGTGGATACAACTGTTCCAACAAAGTAAAAAGCTCCAGAAAAGTCCCACCTCGGACGTTTGTTTCCTACAAATCCAGCAGATTCAGCTTCAGTATGAGCATTCAGCAAAATCTGTAAATCCGTTTCATTTATTTGCGGATATTTTTGTCGGAATAAATTCAAGGAATCATTATACTTCTTTCTTTCTTCCACCTCGTTATCCCGCTCCAAAAACATAAATACTGTTGCACCTACTAGCATATATGCAGTCATTACAAAAAACAAAAGAATAAATCTTGCGTTGTCTTCGCGCAGATGCAGGGCAAAGCAGCACCCCTGCTTTCTGGCAATAGGCATACCGAAAATAAAGAGTTACACCATTTTGTTTTCCCACACATCAGATAAATGTTTTTTTTTTCGAAAAGCCAGTGAAATAATAACCTCACAGATTCCAATATATGAAATTTATATCAAGTTTCAGTCCCCCAACATTTCAACACATTAGAAGTCAATATAATCGTTAAAAGGAATAACTATGCCGCTATTAAATTGAGATTTGTTGACAATAACTACTAAAATGATACAGCAAAGTGGTTTCATTATTAATTCCATCAGTGTAATTTTCTAAGAATTCAAAATTTCGAAATGAAAATCACAAGATATTACCATATTTAGATAAATATTTTTCGCAGCACAAATTCCGATTATTACGGTTTGAATAAAACACAAACACCAGTTGAACTGCAAATAAAACTGTTAGTTATACGTGACAGATTTTCTTTTATCGATCTAGTCACGGATGATATTGCAGTTACGCTCGGAACATCAACTTATAATAATGGATATTTATCGGTCATAATTGATATGTGTTACACAGTTTGTATTGGGGTATAGTGAATTAAAGACAGATTACAGGGGATGAAGGTGAGAACATTGACATCGATTGGTATGATAGTCTATTTACCAAGGACGAGTCAATAGCAGTCTACTTAAATCAATCGATCAATCACAACCCAATCATAACTAATAATTACATGTTCATGTCAGTTTCATGAAAAATACTTAACGAAACAAAAATGGAATTATTCGCCTTCTGTCCAGTGTACGTTACATTTCCATGACTGGGAACTAATCCATTTTTTGCGATGATTAATATACTTCAGGTGACATCGCTCTTCATTTCGCAAGGAACGTGTGGCTAACAAATAATTCTATATGATAAAGTTCTTTTGACCGATCCCGTACAATAAGGATCAATCACAGTTCACAACTTTAACATGTCGTTTGATATTAAGCGTGTTAAACTTGAAATGTAGAAAATATCTACATAATTACAATCCTACGAATGTCTTTATTGTAATGCCAAGTCTTTAGAGCATACTATTGATGGTTTATCGTTACACATTTGATATTAGAAATTGTGTTTATATGGCATTGCAATAAAACAGAGGCCTGATGATGACCCTCAAATATGTCTTGTCTTGTCATGTGATCTTTGTTAGATAAAAGCCATATTGCAAGTATTGTCTGTGCATGAACTTGAGATATAGTTCTGTAATTTTATAACTTCATTAAAGTGGATGTATGCATTTTATCATAAAGATGACGCATATTATTTCTAAATTAAGAGATCAAACTGAGGTCAAGGATTCTATTCACAACATTGTGAAAACGATACTTTTGTAACAGCTTGCATAGACAGGTAAACAATTTTGTTACACTTATAGTAAGTCACCATTGGAACTAACTGTCAGTGGTGAAGGATCCAGGTAAGATGAAGGATTAAGGTAAAGATCCAAATCAAAGGGTTGCGAGATGACGACTTATGCATGGACCATTTGACTTTCTGGGGGGGGGGGTTCTGGGTTTTTATATCAAACCAGATTTTTTTTATCATGCAAATCGAGCAAGAATATTTTTTTTCAGTCAATCCAAAGCAAGAAATTTTTTTTTCAACATTTGTAAAGACAAAGGAGTAGGACATATATATATATATATAACTTTAATTTTTATAGTTTTTTGGAATACAAGACATGGTTTTGTCCATAGCCAGGTAACGGCTTTGGTCCATTTGATATTTTCTGTAGTCTAGTTCCTTTGCTGTTATACCCTTTCAACCCATCATAGAGATAAAATGTTCCGTTCATTCTGACATTGCAGTAAAAATGCCCACCACTGCCATAAGTGATGGCACACAGAGAATATCTGAAATATTACATTGTAATAGTATATAATACTAGTACCTATACACAATGACATATTGGTTAGACCGCACATTGGTCAATGATTTGGTCAAAATAAAACAAAACAATACAAACTGGTACTCTATTTCATAAATGTATGCATGTGTTTTATAGCTGGCTTGAGACGTTTCCTTCAACTATGTGTTCACATATATATATATATATACAGCACAAACAACATTTTCCAAAAGACCAAATGAGTGAAAAAGTATATTTTAACAAAACGCATTTGACTAGCAGGTCGAACAACTGATGTTCTTAAACCCTGCTGACTGTCATTGGCGATTGCTAAATAAACGGATCACCGATGTAATAAATGGATCTCAATTATAAATATAATACTAAACAGAAAACAATAAACTTGCGGAAAAGATGGTATACCGCAAAAAAAAGGTGCAAAGGTTTGTGTACACCATATCCGGATTTCGACAATTGATGTCTCTTCAGTGATGTTAGAAATCGAAACGGTATTTGGAAGGCCATGTAATTCACCTCAATTTAGGATAGACTCTTGAATTTTGAAAGAGTCAAAATAGGATGAACGGATCATATAAACCCGAAGGCAAATATAATACAAGCCCAAACGAAAAAATATAAACAAGTCTAAATTGAAAACAACGTTCTATCCTATGATTGCGTTGGATAAAAACCGCAATTTTTATACGTGTGCATGCAAAACAAATTTCTTGGTAGAGGGGTCTAAATACAGCACAAACAACATTTTCCAAAAGACCAAATGAGTGAAAAAGTATATTTTAACAAAACGCATTATACTAGATTTATATTTATAATTGAGATCCATTTATTACATCGGTGATCCGTTTATTTAGCAATCGCCAATGACAGTCAGCAGGGTTTAAGAACATCAGTTGTTCGACCTGCTAGTCAAATGCGTTTTGTTAAAATATACTTTTTCACTCATTTGGTCTTTTGGAAAATGTTGTTTGTGCTGTATTTAGACCCCTCTACCAAGAAATTTGTTTTGCATGCACACGTATAAAAATTGCGGTTTTTATCCAACGCAATCATAGGATAGAACGTTGTTTTCAATTTAGACTTGTTTATATTTTTTCGTTTGGGCTTGTATTATATTTGCCTTCGGGTTTATATGATCCGTTCATCCTATTTTGACTCTTTCAAAATTCAAGAGTCTATCCTAAATTGAGGTGAATTACATGGCCTTCCAAATACCGTTTCGATTTCTAACATCACTGAAGAGACATCAATTGTCGAAATCCGGATATGGTGTACACAAACCTTTGCACCTTTTTTTTGCGGTATACCATCTTTTCCGCAAGTTTATTGTTTTCTGTTTAGTATTATATTTATAATTGAGATCCATTTATTACATCGGTGATCCGTTTATTTAGCAATCGCCAATGACAGTCAGCAGGGTTTAAGAACATCAGTTGTTCGACCTGCTAGTCAAATGCGTTTTGTTAAAATATACTTTTTCACTCATTTGGTCTTTTGGAAAATGTTGTTTGTGCTGTATTTAGACCCCTCTACCAAGAAATTTATTTTGCATGCACACGTATAAAAATTGCGGTTTTTATCCAACACAATCATAGGATAGAACGTTGTTTTCAATTTAGACTTGTATATATATATATATATATATATATATATATATGTGTGTGTGTGTGTGTGTGCAGTCAGAGTACTGAAATTGAAAGAAATTTTTGCAACAAGATATGGTTAATCATATCTAGATTTTAACAACAGTTTCTTACACTGTAGCTAGAGATGATGAAAGGATGACTTGTAAATTGGGTGTACGTGTACCGACCTCATTTTTTATGAGATACAGACATCTTCCATACTAAACCTGACTTGTATTTCTTTTAAAAGTTTTGTTGTTCATCTTTAACATTTTTAATTCATAGTTAAATAATAGGTTCAATTTTCTGGAATATGTGTTCCTTCACAATATTTATAATACATTTGATGTGTTCTCTGAGTTTTAAAGTCTCAATGTATTGTATTAATTCTGGTATGCAATGTCAATGTCCTAAAAATATCAGAATATTTGGACATGTAAGAGGAACTGAGTATTTTTCCATTTACATGTTTGTGCAACAAACCATTCATTTTAATAAGACAAGTAATACATATATATCAATAATGAATAGAATGGAATATGGTGAACAAGATCCTGACACAAAATCAAAACATGTACACGCTTTTATTGCTGTTCTTCATCTTGAAAATTACAGTGAGATCTTCAAAATAGAAAAATTATTCTAGCCTCAATGTGCAACAAACCATTTATTTGAATAAGACAAGTACATGTAATGCATATATATCCATTATAAGTAAGAAGGGATATGGTGAACAAGATCCTGACACAAAATCAAAACATGTACATAATAAATTTCCAGCAAAGTAACAGCGCCTTTATTGCTGTTCTTCATCTTGAAAATTGCAGTGAGATCTTCAACACAGAGAAATCATTCTCGCCTCAATGAAAGTTTCAAGACAGCCCCTAGCACCGGTTTGAGCAGAATCTTTTGCTAAAGTCAATATCGTCATAATTGTACCATTGAAGACGCACAGATGCGAGGCACTATGGACAATTTAATATGAATAGCTGGCAAAGAAATCTAACAAATACTGTCATAGATGCCCGACAATTTCACTTATACATTAATATAAAACGAGACAAATATAAAGTGAAACACAGGGTAAGTTATTAGATGTGGTACATATAAACAGTGAAGGTTTATTATACCCCTCACAAATGAAGTTTTAGGTGGTGGTGGTGGTGGTGGGAGGGGGGTATATAGGATTAACCAAGTGTGTCCTGTCCTGTCTGTCTGTTTGTCCATAGATCTTGAAAGTGAGGTACTAGTACACTACAATGTGTGGATGATCTTTTTAGCGAGCGAAGCTAGCGAAGAAAAAAAATACATCAAACATGTCATACATGCTGAAGATGAAGCCAGAATATTATATTTTTAGCAACTGAATAGGCCAGATTATTTTTTTTCAAAAAAAACCAGCCCCCCAGAAAGTCCCATAAACGATTTATATTTTTTGTTTGCAGTGTCTGCTCTCAAGAGTTAAACATATTTGGTTCAGAGCATACTTGATGAAGGTTGTACCAGAAACATGTGTCACGAACACATTCAAGAGGAGCGAAAGATACCAAAGGGTCATTCAAACTCATAAGTTGAAAATAAACTGACAACGCCACAGCTAAAAAAGAAAAAGACAAACAGGCAAAAAACTGGGGGTGATATCAGGTGCTCCGGAACGGTAAGCAGATCCTGCTCCATATGTGGCACCCGTCGTGTTGCTCATGTTATTACAAACCCGGTAATAAGTTTAATTTGGTTGGTCACATTCGGGAAAAGGGGACGGGATTGTCGTTACGACATTAGTAACATATACGCTATCATCTGTGAAACGGATATTCCATAACGGTAAACCAACTCGTGATGGCGTCCGTAAAATTTACGAAGGGATGATTTCAACTTCATCACTTGGAACACTTCGTTTAATAGCTTCCTTGTGTGCAGTAACACTCTA